CCCAGATCAGGTAAACCCTGATTTTTGACTTCACTACAGAAAAGAATTTCAAGATAAGCCAGTTTGAATCAGAGTTGGAGTTTTCTGCTTTTGCTTTTTAAAGGATTTAAAATATACATATGGAAGTCAAAAACAAGAGAGGTTTCAGTCTGAAAAACATATATTATTTCACTTCATACCCCTCCCCCAGATTGTAAAGTCTTGAAGCAGCCTGGCTTGTGGCTGACTCACTGAGAAAACCACTGGCTGCTGAAAGGGTAGGTGCATCTGCTAGGCTTTGTAAAAACAATCACTTGGCTTTAAAATGTCAGGTGCTGGAAAATACCGAGTTTAAACAGCAAAAGCATCAAGTCGCTGTGAAGACCCGGTTTCAGATGTAGAAGCCTCACCAGCAGTAGAAACTGCCTTTGTGGTGATGAAACAAGTTAGGGGCACCAAGTTCACCCGAGTTCTCACATGATCACCTAAGACCAGGAAAGTTAGGGATTTTCTGAGAGGTTGCCCTCATTGAAGGGCAGCATGTGTTTCCTCCAGCCCTCACCAGATCGACTAAGATTGGGAAGGTTAGGGGTTTACTCAGCAGTAGCCCTCCTTAAAGGCTGGCCAGCATTCTCATTTAGGTTAGGAGTCAGTGTATTGATTATGGGTGCTGGAAGTTCTTACCTTCTTATGGAGGAGCACTTGATCTAGTTACTAAAAAAGCAGGGCACAAATATCAGACATAAGACACCTAAAGATTTTATTTTAACCTAAATTCTATAGTCCAGAGAGCTAAAGTAAAGCAGAAGCAAGTACAGAAACATTTACAGTTTAAAAGTTTGTAAAGGATCTTTCCCTGTGGCAGAAGCCACCTGGCAGCTCGGTCAGAGCTCTGCTGGTGCTTAGGGAAACAAAGGGTGGTCCACACATTTGCCAAGCGCAGAAAAATACATCTGTCCTTGAACCAGCTAGCAGTGTATGTAGCCACCCTCAGCTGCCAAAAGAACTTGGAAAAAACTTTCAGCCCCTAGGACACAGGATGAAGGCTTTACAAAAAACATGCAAGGAAGTCCAAGACCAAAACCTACGAAGGTGTTAATACAGCCAGCCAGACACTGTTGAAGACCTTATGAAAACATAGAGACAACATTGATAAATTTGGATGTGTTCAGATTTTGGATGCTCATATTTCAAAGATTGTCTATAGATGCTGTGTTACAAGAGACTTCAATTAAAGATGTTTCATTTCAACTAGCTAATCATAACCTAAGCAAAAGGAAAGATGAGAGACTTGTGCATGTTATGTGTGTATGGTGTGGCCACACTGGTGTGTATGGAATGTGAGTGTAAATCTGTGAATGTTGACAATAGGAAATGCTCAAATTGCCTTGGATAGGATTAAAAAGACACTAAGGTTTCTTCAGATATCGTTAAGAAGCTACATAAATTTTGCTATGGATACAGTTAAAACCAGCATTCAGTCAGTCAATGTCTTTACAGGAAAGATGAGAGATTTAAACCCTCAGAGCCAGTCAACGAAAATAACAAAAGTCTACTACACAGCCTGGGAGCCAAGAGAATGGGTATGGATTTTTCAATAGAGTTTAACAGAGGAGAGGATACAGAGTTCCTCCTAAATTTTTATGGTTCAAAGAAATCTAAAAAAAATGGTAGTTAATACATGATTTTAAAAAGATTCTTAAAAAGAAGCCTCAGGGAACTGCTGCCTGGAGAGACCCCACCCACAAAGGTGTCACTGCCTGCACAAATCAGGCCATGTCAGCTAAGATACAGATGAAGCCTTGTCAGCTAGTGAGTACTTCACAAGTTGGATTAGAAAAGACTATGTAAAAACTAAGTAATTTTAAAAAGTTATTTGGGACATATGTTACATTCTAATAGTAATTAAATCTCAATTTGGAAAATCAAAAGAGATAGTTTACAATCTTTTTAGTGATTTCTCAGAAGTTGTTGGGAGATATTCATTGGTCATGTCCCTTTTTAAGGGTATTCAGGAGAACCAAGTATGATACATGTACCTCTTTCCAAGCATCAAGTTGATTGGCTGTTTCAAATCAGCCATTCAGGGGAAATTGCTTTTGCTCAATTTTCAGGGAGAGTTGATACCCAGTTTACAGCTGGCAGACTGTTACAGTTTGAGCTAATACATCCTTTGATTTTTCCAAAAATTGTAGTCTCTCAGCCCATTTGTAAGGGGCAGGTGGTTTTCACAGCTGGTTCCTCTAAAGGTACAGCAGTAGCCTTATCTTATCCCATCATTAAAACAGTCAATATTCCTACATCTTCTGCCTAAATGGCCTAAATTTCAGCCCTGTCCTTGGCTCTACAACTCTTCCCCATGGGGGCATTAAACATCTCTACCAATAATCAATATGTTGCTCCTATTATCCCACCCTTGGAGACTGCTGCCTCTGTTGCTTCCATCTCTAGGATACAAGAGAGTTTTTTACAGGTACAAGGTCAGCTATAATAACGGAGTGAACCTATATTTGTGGGCCCCCTTTGCCAGGGCCCCTCAGCGAAGGAAGTCCCATGGCTAACAGGTATGCTCAAATCGGTGTGCTTTTACAAGGGCTCACTAGAGCACAATCCCTACATAAGCGCTTTATTGCATTGCATTCCATCTTATCGGTTTATAACGCTATCTCATTTATTGTCTCATTTCGAGTGATTTCCTTTCATCTCCAATCACTCAGTACATCACATCCTCAACTTTTGCTACTCCATTTCATGTCATATTCTTTTTGTATGTGAATCCACTTCTCATCACTCCTTTCCTTGCATGGTTTGTTTTCATTGCATTTTACTTGCTGGCATGGCATCACGGTTCATTACAACTAATTTTATTATTTGAATTGATGTCATATGAATATTCCAAGTCATTATTGCTTTTCAACATCTCACCATTATTTGAAAGTCATTGCATTTTATTACAGAACATTTACTTGCAGTTATTAAGTTTCATTTTAATTCAACTCTCCATTTCATGTCATTCCACCATTTGTATGGCTTCATGCTTCTCATGCCATTCATAGTATTTCTGGCCATTTTTTTCATACACTCACTTTTGTTCCCAGTAAAATTCTGTCATTTAGGTTTTTTTTTTTCATTTTAGTGTCTTATTGGGCTTTCTTTCGTTTTTTTAGCAACTTTTCTTCATTTCACCTAATGACTTCAAGATATTTGTTTATCTTAATGCCATCCTAGAGCTTCCACCCAGGAGCTGATGGAAGCAGAAGCAGAGGTTCACAGCTAAGCACTGAGAGGAACTCCTGGTCTCCAGTTGTAGACAGGGAAGCAGGAGTGATGAGCAAAGGGGTCAAGACCATGCTGGGGAAATCCACAGAAGCCACTGATCACAGCAAGCAGGAGCTCAGGGACCCCAGTCTGACAGCTGGGGAACCAACATAGGACACCTGAAGGTGAGTGTCAGTTGGGAGTGCCTAAGCAGTGGATGGATCCTCTGGCAGTGGAACCGGAACTTATTCCTAGTTCCATAATGGACATTGGAAGCCCATTTCCTGTGGAGGGATACTCACTCACCTGCATACACCAGAGTAGGGGTGTGTGTGTGTGTGTGTGTGTGTGTGTGTGTGTTTGTAGGGCCTTGGTCCTGCCCCAAAAGATATGACATAATTGATGAACCCCCATGGGGAGACACCAATCTCCTTGGGCAGTAAGTAGACAGGGGTATGGATGGAGAATGCTTGATTGGTAAGAAGGGATGGCAGGGAGAGGGAATCCGTATTGCTATATAGAAGAAGTTGTTTTTAATTAAATTCAAATTAATAATAAAAAATAATTGTTGTTATCACATTTCACTTTGCCTCCTATTTCATGTCATTACTCCTTTTTGTATTAATGATAACATTTCAGATTATTTTGTTACTTCCTGTCTTCCCATGATCACTGCCATGACTCTCTTACCAGTCTCGTATCACGTCCCATCATTTCATTATTCCATGACACATCATCCTCCATGTCATTTCACCACACTCAATTGCAGTGTATTACCTAAGACTGCATGCATCCCCTGTCATTCCATCAAACTGGACCCAACTCATGAGGATTCCATCTCACCCTCGTTTTCCAGTTCACAATCATGCCGATATTTCATTCCATTACCTTGTATGGTTTCAATTAATTTTACCTGCAGTCTTCCATTCCATTTCATTTGCTACCTACCATCTAATTTTAACGTGAAAAAACGCAATTTATTTCCTCCATGTCTGCATTTTGTTTCTTCATTTCAAAAAATCATCACTCCTTTGCTTTCTTGCTGCATTTCAGTTCATTACCAAATCACTCTGTTTTGCCTTTCAACATCATCTCTTTGATCATTGTCTTTTTTCTTATATTTCCTAATGTTAAATTTCATGTACTATAACTCATTTCTTTATTTCACTTCAAATTTCATATATAATGTCACTTCATAATTTCGCTATATTGTATTGTCTTTCATCTTATTTTATTTTCACATAGTTCATTTCATTTTGTTATTCCATGTTTACATTTTGCTTTATGTTTTTTCACTCAATAAATCATGTCATCATCCTGTTATCACTTGTTTTCATTATTTCACGGCATATCATGATATATCATGGAATATCAGTTCATTTCAGTATATCATTTCCTTTCCTTTCCTTTTTATTTTTATTTTTTTTGATCCCCCGGAACTGGAGTTGCAGACAGTTGTGTACTGTCTTGTGGATGCTGAAAACTGAGCCCACGTTCTGTGGAAGAACAGACAGTGCTCTGAACATACTGTGACAGCTCTCCAGCCCCTTATAGGCCTATTCAACAAAAGGACATCCTGGGTGTAATTAGCATACCTGATACTGACTGTGCTGAAGAGCCTGACTTGGAATTTGCAGCCAGCCTCCTCCTCCCTCTGCAGGTAGAGTGATGGGAGTCAGGGTGTGCACCATAGCACCCAGGTCTGTCAGTAAAGGACCCTTTCAAACATAATAGAACAGCAATATCGACCAGGAGTCAGGCACTTGGTAGAACATTTTTATTTTGAAAGCGGTGGCGTTGAAAAAGGAAGCATGCTTGCTTGCAGGGAGCAGGAGCCCAAGGGCGCCTGCTATTCCTCCCTGGGGCCAAAGGCTGAAGGGCAGCAGGCAGGTGGGAAGGAGAACCCTGGGAGAGAAGGAACCCATTCCAGAAGCCCTGACAAACCATGGCCCCTTATCCACTAGTTGGGGGCTGCAGGCAGACTGCACTGGCTTAGGCTCCCTGGTTCTGAGGTCTGTGCTTCCTGCTGTGGAGCACCCTGCTGGGGATCCAAGAGGCAGGGGGGCTGCTGCAGCACGAGCCTGCTTGGCAATGCTTCAGCCAGGTCTTCCTCCTTTGCCAGAGCCTCGGGTTTCTGGCTCCCGGTCCTGAAGGCAGGGGACCGGCTTCCAGGCTCGCACTGGCCTGTGCTAGACAAAGAGAACCAGGGCGATCCCCCCAAGCCCGCCGCCTGCCACGGAAGAATTACCCCACAGAAAGAGCAGTTTTCAGCAGGTGAGCACTTTTTCAAGGGCCAGAAGCAAGGCTTGTGCCCAACCTGCTTTCTCGAGGCTTCCCCAGCCTCTCTCACAAGTCCAGAGCAGACATTTGGTTCCATGGCTCAAACACCACCCCCAGCACCAGCCCTTGGGTAGCTACAGCTTCTTAGTGCAGTTTCTCAGGGGCTTTCTAGGTGACAGTTGGTTTCAGTTTAGGACAGGGTAAACTTACTTAGCAATCTCTATGTAATGAGGCAGAGTCGGCCGAAGCCAGGCTGCTGTCGACCCTTCTTACACAGTTTACGCTGTAAATATTTTATGCAGTTTCTCGGTAATAAATTTCGAATCTTATAACATTTAGTACAAAAAGTCAGGCATAGGTAGCAATTTGGGTAGAAGAGGCAAACCTGCTAGAGCCAGGCTGCTGTAAAATCTCCGACGGTTTCTCGGCGATAATTGTCCTCAGTCTTCTCAAGATCAGAACAGCAGAGCTTGCTACACAGTTTGGATAGAGTGAGGCAGACACTGAGACTTCTGATTATCCAGCCAGCCAGCCAGCCAACCAGGCAGGGGCAGAGTTCTGCTGTCAATGGCTGCTCTAGGGCTGGCCCAGCCCTTGGGGGAGGTGTCTAAGGACGATGGCAAACACCAGAAGAAAACGCTTTAATTGTATAGTACTGAAAGCAAGAAATCAGCCCTGCTGCCCAAAAGAAAAGGGCAAATTCACACAAATTCACTCCCCTCCCCCAGACAGCGAAGTCCGGAAGCAGCTCGCTTGTGGTTGACTGAGAAAACCTCTGGCAGCTGAAATGGTAGATGCACCTGCTAGGCTTTTAAATAAATCAATTGGCTTTAAAATGGCAGATCCTGGAAAATACCGATTTTAAACTATAACAGCATCAAATCGCCGTGAAGACCCGGTTCCTCCTGTAGGAGCCTGACCAGCAGTAGAAACTCTACCTGCTGATGAAACAGCTCTATGCAGTTCACTAATTGTTGGGGACCATAAGGCAGCAGCAAGTTTCTTTAAGTTTGGCGGTCACACTGAGACATTTGATTGAGTCTTTTTCTTTCGGGTGAATGCACTACCAAGTTCATAAGTTCTTTGACTAAACTGATGGTTTTCATCTACAAAGCCTGTTTATGCTACTTTAGCTAAATACATTTGCAACTGTAATTTGGCACATGTTATTGGACCGGTGTTCACTATTTAACTCAGCATGGTTTCTTTCAGTACATCGCGATTCATTGTTTCATGACACTTACCTTTAACTCCGTCCATTTAACTGCATTTCATCTCATTCCATCGCTCTATTTCATATAGCTTTGACATTCATCACATTTCTGACAACTCATCTTTCTTTCCTAGTTGATCGACATTTTCTTTAAGTGTCTTCATCATTTTATTTCCTTCATTTTTCGTTACGTTTGATTACATTAGATTCTAGTGCATTAAATTATATTTCCTTTCATCGTTTCAATACTTTTTCATGGCACATATTGTCTTCCTGTGCTGTAATACTGTCTCATTTTATTTCACTGTTTCATGTCATTTCATTACCACATTTTATTTTTATTTTATTTTATTCAATCCAGCCCATGGTCACTTTTATCACTTGTTTTAACTACTTGTTGTCCTATCAATTCATTCCAGTATATTTTTAAAGTTTTTTTATTCCAATTAGAAACAAGCTTGCTTCCCTTGTCAATCCCAGCTCCTCCCTCTCCCTCCCTCCTCCCCAGTCAGCTTCAGCCCTCAGCCAACTCCCCCCTAGGTTACACTCCACTCCTCAAGGAGTGTGAGGCCCTTCGTGGGGTTTCTCAAAAGGTGTGGCCCTTCATGGAGCATCTCCAAAATCTGTCATATCATCTGGGGCAGGGACTAAGCCCTCCCCCTTGTGTCCAGCTGGAGACAGCATCCCTCCATGTGCAATGAGCTCCTAAAGTCCATCTGGATGGCAGGGATCAATGCTGATCTATTGTCAGAGACTCCAAAGAATACTGAGGCCTCCTCACTGACACCCACGTTCAGGGAAACTGGATCAGTCCCATGCTGGACACTCAATTATTCGTCTGGGGTGGGGTCCATCATCTCCCCCTTTGTTCAGCTCAGCTCTTTCTGTGACTTTCATCTGCCAAGCCTTAATTAACACCTTTGCTCCTCCCTCCTCCCTCCCTACAGCTGGGTTCCAGGAGTTTAGTTCAGAGTTTAGCTGTGGGTGTCTGCCTCTGCTTCCTTCAGGCACAGGATGAAGGAAGGCTCTAGGATGGCATCCAAGGAAGCCTTCAATCACAATATCAGGGAAGGGCATTTAAGGGCACCTCTCCACTATTGGGTAGTTTGCCAGTGGTTGTCATCCTTGTAGGTCCCTGCACATCTCACTAGTGTCAGATCTCTCTTCAAACCCATAATGGTTCCTTCTGGTATGGTGTGTCTCATCTTGTTCTCCTCTATTCTACCCCTATCTCAACCTTCCTGCACCTTCTTGTCCTCCTCTCCCCTGGTCTTCACCCTGTCTCTTTCTCCCAGATTTGCCACCCCCCTTCCCCCTTCAGCTTCCAATCCCCTAAGAAGATTCTATCCAATTCCCCTTGTTTGGTGTACCATGCATGTCTCTTTTAGGGTTCTCCCTGTTTCCCAGACTCTCTGCCTCTGGGATTGTTCTCTGGTACTTCCCTGTTTCATGCCTGAAATCCATATATTCATTCCAATATATTATTTCACTTCATACCCCTCCCCCAGACTGCAGAGTCCCGAGGCAGCCTGGCTTGTGGCTGACTCACTGAGAAAACCACTGGCTGCTGAAAGGGTAGGTGCATCTGCTAAGCTTTGTAAAAACAATCACTTGGCTTTAAAATGTCAGATGCTGGAAAATACCGAGTTTAAACAGCAACAGCATCAAGTCGCTGTGAAGATCTGGTTTCAGATGTAGGAGCCTCACCTGCAGTAGAAACTGCCTTTGTGGTGATGAAACAAGTTAGGGGTACCAAGTTAACCCGAGTACTCACATGATCACCTAAGACCAGGAAAGTTAGGGATTTTCTGAGAGGTTGCCCTCATTGAAGGGCAGCATGTGTTTCCTCCAGCCCTCACCAGATCGACTAAGATTGGGAAGGTTAGGGATTTACTCAGCAGTAGCCCTCCTTAAAGGCTGGCCAGCATTCTCATTTAGGTAAGGAGTAAGTGTATTGATCATGGGTCCTGGAAGTTCTCACCTTCTTATGGAGGAGCACTTGATACAGTTACTAAAAAAGCAGGGCACGAATATCAGACATAGGACACCTAAAGATTTTATTTTAACCTAGATTTTAATAGTCCAGAGAGCTAAAGTAAAGCAGAAGCAAGTACAGAAACGTTTACAGTTTAAAAGTTTGTAAAGGATCTTTCCCTGTGGCAGAAGCCACCTGGCAGCTCGGTCAGAGCTCTGCTGGTGCTTAGGGAAACAAAGGGTGGTCCACACATTTGCCAAGCGCAGAAAAATACATCTGTCCTTGAACCAGCTAGCAGTGTATGTAGCCACCCTCAGCTGCCAAAAGAACTTGGAAAAAACTTTCAGCCCCTAGGACACAGGATGAAGGCTTTACAAAAAACATGCAAGGAAGTCCAAGACCAAAACCTACGAAGGTGTTAATACAGCCAGCCAGACACTGTTGAAGACCTTATGAAAACATAGAGACAACATTGATAAATTTGGATGTGTTCAGATTTTGGATACTGATTGTCTATAGATGCTGTGTTAAAGGAGAATTCAATTAAGGATGTTTCATTTCAACTAGCTAATCATACCCTAAGCAAAAGTAGAGATGAGAGACCTGTGCATGCTATGTGTGTATGGTGTGGCCACACTGGTGTGTATGGAATGTGAGTGTAAATCTGTGAACGTAGACAAAAGTCTACTACACAGCCTGGGAGCCAAGAACAGGCTAGATCCAGGCTGCTCACGATTCTTCTCACACTTTTTCTGCTGTAATATTTATTTACAATTTTTTCGGTAATAAATTTTGAATATTATATTATTTAGTACAAAAAGTCAGGCATAGGTAGCAATTTGGGTAGAAGAGGCAAACCTGTTAGAGCCAGGCTGCTGTAAAATCTTCTATGGTTTTCGGCGATAATTATTCTCAGTCTTCTCAAGATCAGAACAGCAGATCTTGCTTAACAGTTTGGATAGAGTGAGGCAGAGCCTGCCTCTGCCCCTGGGCTGTCCCCATTTATAGTCCAGCCAGCCAGCCAGCCAGACAGGCGGGGGCAGAGCTCTGCTGTCAATGGCTGCTCTAGGGCTGGCCTAGCCCATGGGGGCGGTGTCTAAGGACGATGGCAAACACCAGAAGAAAACGATTTAATTGTTTTGTACTGAAAGCAAGAATCAGGCACTGCTGCCCAAAAGAAAATGGCGAATTCACACAAATTCACTCCCCTCCCCCAGACTGCAGTCCGGAAGCAGCTCGCTTGTGGCTGACTGAGAAAACCCCTGGCTGCTGAAAAGTAGGTGAGCCTGCTCTTCTAAGAAAATAAGCATTTGGGCTGTAAAATAGCAGCTGCTGGCTAAAACCGAGTTTAAACAGCAATAGTGTCAAATTGCTGTCAAGACCCGGTTTCTGATATATGAGCATGACCCGCAGTGGAAACTGTCAATCTCTTGATTTAACAGCCATCTGCAGTGTTAGGTGTTGGGGACCATATACCAGCTTCAAGTTTTAATTTTCGTAAACTTTTGGGATCACACTGAAACTCCTGTTTGTGTCCTTTTCTTTTGGAACAATGCATGTCCAAGAACAAAATTTTTGAGTAAAACTGGTTGGTTTTCTTCTACCTTTTTTACCTAACTATGGTTTGGAACTATAATTTTGGACATCTTGATGCGTTTTCCTTATTTGACTTCAACATCATTTCAGTTAATTCCATTTCATTATTTTATTACATGTACTTTTAGCCTGGTTTATCAAATTGGTCTTCATCTCATTTCATGGTTTTATTTCATATTATTTTTACATTCATTACATTTCAGTCATCTTAGTTTCCTTGTTGATTGTCATTTTTTTAAGTCTACTGGCTTGTATCTTACTTCATGATTTTTTCATTTGATTACATTAGATTCTATTGTATTAAGTTATATTTCCTTTCATCTATTCAGTCTTTTATCTCATTGCATTTTGTCTTGTTCTGTAATACCATTTCATTTTATTTTGATAGTTCATGTATTTCATTCTTAGTTTTCAATTTAGTTTTATTTCACTCCTTCCATCCCATGGTCACTTTCGTCACTTCATTTAATTATTTCTTGTCCCATTGATTTATTCTGGCATGTTATTTCTTTTCATCTTTCTCCTCATTTTTCTTTCTTCTAATTTAATTATACTACATTGCATTTGATACATGACACTATATAATATATACATACAAATCATCTCAACACATTTAATTTTGTATTCCATGTCATTCATTACAGCAGTTCTTTTTATTATATTTTATTTTAATGACATTATTATTAAAATTCATTTATTAAATTTAGCTTATTTTCCTCTTCCTTTGAAAGTTTTTTCATTCCAATGTTTTGTTGATTTTATTTCATTACAATGCAATCCAATTTGTTACATGAAATTATTCACTGTATTTTATTTTCCTTTTGTTTCAGTGTTTTAAAAAATCATATTATTGTCAGGCGTTGGTGGCGAATGCCTTTAATCCCAGCACTCGGGTGGCAGAGGCAGGTGGATCACTGTGTGTTCGAGACCAGCCTGGTCTACCGAGCGAGTTCCAGGACAGCCTCCAAAGCCACAGAGAAACCCTGTCTCGAAAAATCAAAAAAAAAAAAAATCACATGTTATTGCATTTCATTTAATTAATCTTGATTTTGTTGTTTCATTTCATTATTTTTGTATTGCTTTGTAATAGTCTGATGAAATTACATTTTACTCTATCATATATCATTGCATTTCATCTATAGTTTTATATTACCAGTTCATCTTATTTTATCACATAATTTCATTATCAGTTTTTGCCTCATTTATTTCAATAAGTATATAATACACCTTTCATCCCTCATTTATGTCATTTCATGTTATATGTGTTCATTTCAGAATATTATTTCGTTTCTTTAAACCACTTAAGTTCATGGTTTCTCTTCCTCTCTGTTGATATTTCTCATTGCATTTGAATACTTGAACTTTCCTGCCATACCCATAAAATTTCATTTTATTATTTCATTATTAGATTTCCCTTTGTTTCATGCCACTCCATATATCATGACACCATGCTTTTATCTCTTGTTTTCCTTATTTCGTGGCATATTTCTTTATTTCAGCATGTTATCACTTCACTTCAGTTTATTTCTTTTTATCTCACTAATTACAACTCATCGTATTAGATTATATGACATTTCCTGTTGTGATATTTTGTTTGTGACCTAACAAATAAAGCTTGCCTGAAGATCAGAGTGCAGAGCTAAGCACACAGTTAGGGGTAGAAGCCAAGCAGTTGTGGTACTCATCTTTAATCCCAGCCCTCAGGAGACAGAGGCAGATGGATCTCTTTGAGTTCAAGGCCATCCTGGGCTAAGAGAGACTGAATCAGTCTAAAAGAGAGGCAGCTCACAGAAAGGTAGTCCCAGCATTTGGGATCATATGCCTTTAATCCCAGCAGGAAAGAGGTGGGATTGATATGGCTGGGTGGAGAGAGGAATATAAGGCAGGAGGAGACAGGAACTCACAGCATTAACTCTTAATCTTGCTTATTTGGTCTGAGCATTGGTCGAGGTAAGAACTCCAGTGTCTGGCTGCTCTGCTTCTCTGATCTTTCAGCTTTCACCCCTTAACATCTGACTCTGGGTTGTTCATTAATAATACTAATTAGCATTGCATTACATCCTGTCACCACATGAATTGTAATGAAATGAAATCAACAAAATGTTGGAATGAAAAAACTTTGAAAGGAAGAGGAAAGCAAATTAAACTTCATGAATTCTATTTTTATTATAATGTAATAAATATAAAATGTAATAAAAAGAACTACTTGTAATGAATGACAAGGGATACAAAATTAAATGTGTTGCGATGATGTGTATATATATAATATGTAATATCACAGCATTTTTAGTTGAGTTATTTCTTTGTTTTTCCATCATCATATCATTTCAATAATTTACATTTCATTATGACCTCATATTTACATTATCTTTATACATTACATTTATATTATATTTATATAATATTTTAAAAATATATTATTTTTAAGTAAATTTATTTAATTTGACTGAGTTTCTTCCTCCCAAGTCATTTCACTCCACCATTTTATTGCATTTTTTTCTGTTGTACTATTTTATATTTTTTCCTTTTTCTTTTTCTTTTTTTGGTTTTCAGAGACAGGGTTTCTCTGTATTGTTTTGGAGGCTTTCCTGGAACTCACTCTGTAGGGCTGGCTGGCCTCGAACTCATAGACATCTGCCTGCTGCTGCCTCCCGAGTGCTGGGATTAAAGGTGTGCACCACCAACGCCCAGCTTTATTCATATTTCTATCTATATTGTTTTCCTCTTGTCTCAATATTTTAAAAAGTATTTAATTTCAGATTTTATTTCACTTCATTTTCTCATTTGATCATTTTGTTTAGGGTCTTATTGTATCATTTCAGTGTTTTATATTTCATTATGCTTGATTTCATTGCCTTACATTTTATTTTGTTTATTGTTTCTCTTTGTCTCATTACATTTTATCTTATAAATTTCAACACCATTTTATTTTATTTCCTGAAGTCAGATAACTTCATTATCATATTTCAGGTCATAAATTCCTCCTGGCATTTTAATTTTTATTTTGTTTTATTAACTAATTTCGCTTCGTTTCATCCATTCATGTCATCATTTATCTTTTCGTTATAGTGGGTCCCGAGTAGATCTGAAACAACCAAGGCACATAAGAATTCACTCAAAGCAAGGTTTTTATTGAATTTTCAGTGAAACTGACCAGTCAGGGACCTCAGTACAGACTGGGAAGCTGACTGAGTCTCAGAATACTCACTCAGGAGGGGATTTAAGCAAGAAAACCACAAATATCTGTGCCAACCCACACAGGATACAAGTTCTGCAGTGTAAGTAAACAGATAAGTTTGTTCTTTGTGGATAGAAACAGTAAGTATGTCTTGGAGAAATAAAGTTGAATAACAGGCAAGTTGTAGTACTAAGTAGGATGTTCAGCCCTAGTGGAAAGTTCCAGCTCCCCAGCATCTGGAAAGTCCCACTTCGCCTAGGGTCTGGAAAGTCCCACCTCCCCGAGGGTCTGGGACCTTGAATGTTGTTTTACCTTTCACTTAAAATTGAGTCTGGAAATAAGGCAGTACTTAGGGCCAGTTCCTTTTGCTTAATCTCAACATAGTGGATTGCATTATATACTTCATTTGATTATCTTCTTTTTCTCATAACTTTTCATGTTATAATTGTGTAACACTACGTCAATGTATTTCCCTGTTCAAATGATTTCATTGTCACATTTCATTTCATTATGTAAATTATGAGTAAAATTAGCCGAAGTCCTTTCAGCTGCTAGTGTAACCTGAGCTTTAAGGGGGAAAGTCCCAGTTTCCAGCAGCCTCACAGGCTCATCTCAGTCACTTAAACAATATACCAATGAGAGAGGCAGGGGATTGCCCTTGGGCAATGCAATGAGTATTAATCAACGTGGCCACCCTGTTCTGAAATTCATGACACCTCAGACTGAAGGCAATGACTGATGTCTACTCCTGCCCCTGCTCTCCTATGAAGCTGAATAGGTAAACTGAAATGAAATAAATAAATGAACAAAATAAAAGCATCATGAGAAGGGAAGACTGGAGAGTGGGCTCAGTGGTGGAGGCTTTGTTGCTTGTTGGGGTCCATAAAGATGACTCCACTCCTGACTAAAGGCCAGAGAGTTCAAAATTGCTAAAGGTCAAAGCATGGCTACTGTAGGATGTTTGATCTTGGCCTTGGGTGTCTTATGTAAATAACAACAGACTTGGTCTGAGGTGTGGTTGCCCTGGATCCTCAAGGCCCGATAACAAGAAATTAGATATAAGTTATGGCTACCGAATCCTTGGAGTTTACATGATGAAAAGTCTGTTTGTACCATATGCATGATATCATGTTCCCCTTTTTGGTTAAAGTATTTTCGAGTGGTGTAAAATAGCTGGGTGTTGGTGATGCATGCCTTTAATCCCAGTTCTTGTAAACAACAACAACAACAATAAAAAAACCAAGATGTTTTTTCATAAAATTTCATATTTTTAACAAGGATTTCAGTCACTAAATAAAAGTTGAAACTGTGAACTAAAAGTGAGTCATTGTCATAAAACCTTAGCTTTTCATGAAGAATCTTTCCTTTTTATAAAAAGGGCAGCTTTCAAATTAAAAGATCGTTTTTGATCAAAACCAATAGTTTTAACGAAAAATCAACCCCTTCAATAAAAGTCCAATTGGAAATTAAAAGCTGAGCATTTATGAAAAACTTTAAGAAAATTCCAAACTGTAAATAAAAGTCTACCGTTTCCATCCTTTAACTAGAGGTCAACCTCTTAACAAAAGTTCAGGAGAAGTCCTCTAGTATAAAGTCCATTCTTTGAAGAAAAACAGTTTCTAGGCACCTGACAGACTAGGACTTCAATGATGAAGGAATTCTTCAGTTTCATTCAGATGCCAAAGGGAATGTTCTCCAGGCCTCTGGTGTGTTTGATCCTTTTGAGACAGACCCCCCTGTGTTTTCACTGAAATGTGGTATCATGTTAGGAATAAGTTGCTTTCTATGTTGTAAAATTGGGGGAAAAAATCAAACAGAGAACCATTACACAACGGGTTACCAGAAGGTATAATGTCTAACCATATTTTTGTTATGAAGACTAAACAGTACTTGATGAAAACCCATAATGTTTAGTCAAAAATTGGTTCTTAGGTCAAGGATTGCTCCAAAAAGATAAGGACACAACAAAAAGTTTAAGTATGTCACCTTAAGTTTATCCAAGTTAATACTAACAGCTGGGATATGGTTACCAGTGCTTAACAAAGGACAAAATGGGTGTTTGATCAGGAGAATTACTTAGAGTATCTACTGCGGGTCAGCTTCCTAAATCAGAATCTGTGTCTTCACAGAGATTTGATGCTGTTGCTGTTCAAAAGGACTCTTGGGCAGATGTTACATTTTTAAGCTCTTACCCAGACCTGTGCTTCAGCCCTGCGGGGTGTCCAGTCACCCAGCTTGGTTAATGGTGAAGGCTTGGGTGCAGCAGGAAGTGTGGCTGTGCCCCAAGAAGTTCTGACACAAATGGACAAAGTCCCGGGTTGTTGCTGCGTGGATGCTGTCAATGTCACTGATCCCTTATTTTAGTCCCCACTGAAGATGGCTGCAAAATGAGGGTCAAATTCGAAGGACCAGACATTTGCAGATCCCTAGGACAAGAAGGCACTGAGTTTCTGGTCAGGTACCGGTGACAAGCGATTTAGCCAGAGCCTGGCCACTGGATTTCTCAGTGGCACAGATTTCTCTCTGCAATTGTGGCTCCTAGAGTTTTCTAAGATTACCCGGTGCAGCAACACTACCCCTTTGCTGAAGGCTTCTTTTTTCTTTTTTCTTTTTTCTTTTTGGGTTCCGTGGCCTCCCTGGCCCCCAGCGAGGCTGTTTCTGGACTATGCTGTGCACTGTGCGATTTCAGCAGGGCACAGGCTTGGCCCTGGCTGATATGCAGTGCACCACAGCGGGAAGCCCAGACCTCAGGTGCTCAGCACATTGGCCAGTGAGATCGGGCTGAGGTCCCCAGTTGGTGGAGAAATCCGGTTTTGTTGGCCTTCTGGAGGGAATTCATTGCTTATGGCTCTGTCAGTCCTGGATCCTGTCCTTCAGTCTTTGGCACCAGGGAGCCTTAGAGAATATGGGGACCCTTTGGGCTACTGCTCCCTGCAAAGCATGCTTCCTTTCCGAACGCCTTCGTTTCAAAATAAAAACGCACTGACAACTGTCTAACTTTCCTGATCAATGTTTCATTTAATTCGTACTAAAGAACGCAATATACGGAGCTGAGTGTGATGGAGCAGACTGAAAGATAAAAACCAGGAGGAGGACCCGACTGTCTTAAGGGGTGGCTGTTTTTGGTATAGACATGAGGGAGTAGACAGACAGACAGAGGAAGAGGTTGAGGGGAGGCAGAGACAGAAAAATCTGGGAAAGCCCCATGTCCAGACCTAGCTGTGCTGCGCCAAGAGAGGGGGGGACCCAGAGCTAGAGCTGAGTCTGACCTAAAGAGGGTGGGGACCAAGCTACTAGCCAAAGGACTGGTGGTGGCTGAGTTACACTGGGGCCATTGGAGCAGGGGACAGGAAACCCAGCACTGCACCTGGGCTGGAGAGTTCAGGAAAGGGAGCCGATTCTGCCTGGTACTCAGGGAGCCCAGAGAGGGGCGGTCAACATCCGCTTTGATTTGTTAATAAGCACTTTACAGGTGCTGAACAGCTTAGGGACTGGTGGCTGGTGGGGAGTTTGGAACACTGCAGGAGGGTAAGGGGTTCTCGCAGGGAGGAGGGCAAGCCTAGCAGTTCCCTGTCCTCGTTCTGTGCTGGAGACCTGAATCCAGAGGCTGTGGTGGGAGAGGAGGACCTGGCAGAAGCATCCCTTTGCAGGTTTGTGTTCCTTGTGCCAGCTCTGCTGATGTGCTGGGGCTCGGAAAGCTACTGGGACCCTATCAAAAACAAACAAACAAACAAAATAAAAACTAACAAAAAACACAAACAAACAAAAAACCCACCGGAAAAGGAGTTACCTTCAGCAAAGGGGAAGTGTATTGACTATTTAGAAAATCCCATGGGAGGCCGCCTGAGAGAGAGAAATCCACTCAACTACAGCATGTGCCTCTTGTTTTCCTGGTAAATGTTTGCTCAATTGTATGCTTAAGAATGTTATACACATAGCGTTGGTGTGTGTTATGATGCCATGCTGTAATCCAAGCACTCTGCCTGCATTGGTAGGGGATGAGGACTGCAAATTCCAGACCAGCCAGGCAGAGCTGTGACTACCAGGCCATATACAGCTGGATTCCAGACGGTGTTCCCAGCAAGACTCTCTGGAAATTTTCTTTAAAATTCCAATTCCTGTGGAACCTCAAAAATCCGTGATGGCCATTGCACCACGCCAGACTTCCAGTAGTGTCACTGATCTATAGTACTAGAAATAACATTCAGTTGCTGACATCCAAGTACTTGCATAAATTGATGCCATTGTGATTGCATGGAATCAGTGACACCTGGTTTTTCACCAAGAGAGAAATGAAAGCATACTTTTGAGAAAGGACAGAGAATGCCTTCAACAAATGTTCCTTGCAAAACTTAATGGCCACAAGTGGGATGCCATTAAGTCTCTCTGTCTCTGTCTCTCTGTCTCTCTGTCTCTCTGTCTCTCTGTCTCTCTGTCTCTCTCTCTCTCTCTCTCTCTCTCACACACACACACACACACACACACACACACATCCCTCTTATAGAAATACAGTTCAAATGGTTCCAACATTCTACTCTACCCAAAGCTGGAGAGTTTGCAAGAGAAAGAAGTACCCGCTAACCTCATGGGCAAGCAGTTTCTGATTAGGACTCTGGTTGCTGAGGAAACAGTGCTACCATCTGGCAAATGATGTCATTAATGTGAAAATCTTAGTCCCAACAAAGGAAATGATATGTTTGTTAAGTATCCAAAGAATTGAAAAAAAATTTGCTAGCTCTTCACCTGGCAGAGGATTCCTATCTATAGGACACTAAGAACTTAGCGTTAAAAGAAGAAAACACCAAATCTCCCAATCAAAAAAAAGGCTTGGACAAAATAAACAGCCAGTTCTCAGAGCTTGAAGTGCAAATGCCCATCAGTCTTGGTGGGGGAAGGGTTCATCCTCGCTGACAGGAGCTAACACTACTCTGAGATTCTATCATATCCCAGCCAGAATGGCAATAGTGGTCATCAGGAAAGCAAAGGAGAGCTAATGCTTGGGAGGAAAGGAGGAGGGGTGTGGAGAACTGGAACCCTGGTCGATTGTTGTTGAGAATGTAAAGTACTCTGACCAAAGTGTAAAAGCAAATGATCTTTACACAGTCTATAAAGAGAGCTTCCACGAGTCTCAGCCTTGTCAGGTATTAGTGTTTACCTCTAAACTCTGAGTTAGCATATCCCAGAGAAACTTGTATATCTTTGTTTTTTGCAGTCCTGTTCACAATAGCTGAGTGATGGAACCAACATGGGTATCACATAATGAAGCAATGGGCAAACAAGGGATGTTTTATGAAGCCCATGGAATTATTTTCACCCACAGAGAAGAATGGAGAGTCATGGTGTGGTAGTTTTGCTGAGAGTGGTCTCCATAGACTCATATATTAGAGTATTTGGTTCACAGCTTAGGAAGGATTAAGAGGTGTGTCCTTGTTGGAGAAGGTATATCACTGGGATGACATTTGAGGTCTCAAAAAATTCCACTGGGCACAGTCTCTCTCTCTCTTCCTCCCTCCCTCTCTCTGTCCCTCCCTCCCTCTCTCCTCTCCCCCTCCCCCATGCTTTTTCTCACTCATTACTTCCTGCTTGTGGAGTAAATGTAAGCTTGTAGATACTGCCCAGCTCCATGCCTGTGCCTGCTGCCCTGCCTACATGGACAAGTGTCTGTCATTCTGAGACTGACATTTTTCACTCAGTGTGATTATCTCCAGAGGCATCCATCTTCCTGAAGACCATATATCTTAGTTACTATTCTATTTCTGTGAAGAGACAATAAGAGCAAGACAACTTAAAAGAAAGCATTAACTGGGAACTTGCTTATAGGTACATGAGGGAGTTTATGATTATTAAGCTCTTAACAATGTGTTTTTGTGCTGTGTTTTTTTCCCATAAAGGGAAGAATGTTCTATTTTGGGTGAGAGTTGTAGTAGGATCCATTTTGGGTGAGAGTTGTAGTGGGATCCAGTCCATCACAGCAGGGTAGGCACAGCAACAGGAAGAGGAGGCCAGTTGGTCACATTTCATGAGAAAGTAAGAATTAGAGATGGACCAAGAAGTGCGTCCAGGCTATGAAACCTTAAGGCGTGGCTTCAACTCTTCATTGTTGCTGACCGCAAGTGACAAGTGGTACACAGGGATGCAGTTTACTTGGAGATCCTTGGAAGCACTACCTGTCAACTCCAACACCTCAGAAACCAGGTCAACTCAACTCTGGCATTTCAGAAGCTAGGTGCTTCTCAATTCCAGCACCCCAGGAGCTTGGTGCTTGGGAACGACAGTGCTGTAAAAGGCATTTGTGGTGCCAACCTGTCCATAGCTCTTGGGGGTGACTTGAGTAGATGAATGTGGCCCACAAGAAACTCTACTTCAGTTTTGTGGAAGGGAGACATTTCCTCAGCCTTGGAGTTGCCACTGTCTCTTTCTGTTTTGCTATCTGCCATGGTCTTTGTGATAGGACAACCATTGTCTCCCAGGGTTCTTGCTTCTATGCTAGCCAGTAGTGCAGCTGCTAGAGCCTGATCACATCCTCTTGTCTCTTCACCCTTAAATACTCAAGACTTTTAGCTTTTCGTAAAACACAAAAGAAGGTATTTTGACCTGTGACCATCCTTTACAACACTGATATACTCTGTCTCTCTGACTGTTCTTGACACCAGTTTCCAACTGTCTTCTACACTCTCTTTCCCAATCCTTCTCAGCCTTGTCTACACTGCAGGGACATTACCATCACATCCTTTTAGGAGCTCTAGAAGCAACTGTCTATTTCAGTTCCAGACAGAGACCAGCACGGAGGAACCCAGGTGCTCTGTGTCTCCTCCATTTCTTGACTGCTTCATTCTCTATCCGTGCCTTAAGACGGTTGGATATATGTGTCAATACAATAGACACAATGGGGAGAAAGGATCAAAGAATGAGAGCTACATGGGAAGCCATTAGGTGGCTTTAGGAACTGAGCAGATCCCCTGTTTTTTGACTCTTGTATTTGGCCACTGGCCAGGAAGAAACGATGGATATTGGTGATAGCCAGTGAACAGAGAATGCGGTAGACCGATGATATTGATTATTAAAAACAAAATGAAAGAAATCAAACAAGCAAAATAGAGGGCATGAAGTTGTGAGGGAGGATGAAGGGACTGGTCTTGGGAAGAACTGCAAAGGGAAGAATGTAGGGAGTTTGCTTATGATCATAGTATGTTCACATGAATTTCTCAAAGAATAAGTAAAAGAGGTATCATTAAAGAGAGACTGAGAAGGATGTGGCTGAGTCAGAGAAAGAGTATGCAGATGTGAATAGACCACTACATTGGAGGAAGTGGAGGAGTGGAGGAGGAGAAGAGACTGCTATTAGAGGAGTTGGAATTCTCGGTGGACCTGATTGGTCTGTGGGAGCCCCGAGCATGAGGCCCTTCTGGGGTGGCTGCAACCCAGCTTTTGCTGCTGTTGAGCACGAATACAGTCATCAACATAAAGAGGACGGTGTATTATGGTTGAATACTGTTGGCTTGCACCACAATCATCAAGAACCTATAAATTCTTGTCACTTCCATTCTGTGTGAACTCAAAAAAATAAAAATAAAAAACAGAGAAGAAAATCAGTCATTACCATGAAACTTTGGAAGAAGTAGTTCAAGGAGTTGAATTCAAATTCATTGGCCCAGATATTAAATTTAAAGAAGGCGTGATGCAACACTGTGAAACTCACTTAGATTTGTGCATGCTATCAAAAATCAGTACTTGTAAGCTCGGTGTGCTGGTGCATGTCTTTAATCCTAACAGAGGCAGACAGATGTTCAATGCCAGCCTGGTCTACAGAGTGAGTTAAAGCACAGCCAAAGCTACACAGAGATAGCCTGTCTCAGTAAATCAAACAATATCAGTTCTGGCTATATGTAGAGGGTAGCCTTCCCTGCCATCCTCCTGGGCCCTGCCACAGTTGCAGTCCCCAAATAACACACAAGACACTGTATTAATTATGAAGCTGTTGGCCATTTGTTTGT